ATGTTGAGTCAGGAAAGGACGCGCATGCTGAATGCTTGATTGAAAGCGATAAATTGTTTAGGAAATCTTTTTGCAAGCAGCATTGATGTGGCCGCTTGTTTCAGTGGCATATCTTTTGACGAAGTAGTGATAATGCATTTTTCTTTTCGACTTCGGTTTCTTTACGAGATAGGCGCTTACATCTTTGGCTCCATGAATGTACCTTTAATTTAGTGCCATTTCATGAGCTTTGAACCATTGGAAGAAGGGGAGAGAAAGGAGGACGAGGGCAAATGTTATGCTTTAGACAACTTTGAAGCTCCAAACACCTTAGAAGTCAAATTTGATAACACCAACTTTTTAGAGGGAGCAGTTTCAGCATCTATTAACAATAGATCGCCTACGTTATGAAATGTCTCAAAATGCAGGAGTATGTACTCATTCTCTGTCTTTCGTTTGTTTTATCATTTAATTGTTGGATTTCTAACTTGCTTCCATGTGTTGAATATGCTCTCCCTATTGTTGTTCCTACGTTGGTAATCATTAGTTGTCACAGTTGGCTCGTTGAGATCATTCAATTTATTTTATTAATTGCACAATTCCCAAAGATCATGCACTTGCCTGAGTTTCGCTCCTGCCGTAGAAGTTGTGCTGTTGGGGACAACTATCGAATTGGGCCTCTTGCACACTTTGGTCGCCAATAGCAACACTCAAGAGCTTTCTCAAAGACAGGAGTAGGCTATCTAATTTTTCTCAAGGTCGCAGTTTTGATTCATGTGATGCGGATTGAAGAAGTCTTATGCACTCGTGCTGCCATCTTTCAGCAGCTCAGGAGTCGTGCACTGGGCTGAGTAATTGACCTGCCTCAATTGAAAGTTACAGTCATTTTCAGTGGGTATTATTTAACGCATACCTAATTTTTATAAGTCATCCTGGAGTCCAAATGTCTCCCTTTTTTCATCAAATCGTCATTCTCCTTCGTACAAGCACTTAAGTCAAAATCTCGAGTATTTTTTACTCTTTGTGGCACTCTGTGACATCTCTGGGGATGAAAATGGACATGATACCCAGCCAAAGTACTGAGGTGGAATTCCAAGTGGCCAAAGTGGGGAAACAAACAAATGCTCAGAATACTGCAGCATTTGTTTTGTTTTCGGTCTTCAAAACAACCGAATAGCATAAGGTTGCTATTTCAAAGGCGTTAGATGAAGTATTCACCAATTTTATAGAAGTGAGAAGCATTTAAGTCCCCGATTCTTGTCCCATCCTCGTTGTACTCCTTCCTGTTTGCATTGGTTACTAACGCCGAATGCATGTGACTGCCTCGATTTCCGGCCTATTTTTGGCGCTGACAAGTTTTCTCCACCGGTGCGTGGCAAGTGGATGCATTAAATGCAGCCTCAAATGGACGCAATTAAAGGTAAGAAAGTGGAACTTAGCTTACTTTGATGTAAGGCAAAGACATGGTTTTGTGTCTGCACAGCCTCTGAAAGGGTTAGTTAGAGAGTGTAGATGCTGATGAGCTCAATGAAGCGATGAAACGTTTGACCTACATTGGATCAGTTGGCTTGAGGACCCTGGCATCGAACATGTAAAAGGCCTTTCCCTCCTCTTTCCATCTGCCATGGTGAAACCATGCAGTTGTGGAAGAACGCCTGTTGGGATTTCCTTGGATGCCTATTTGAAATACCAATGTTAGCAATCTTGTGGCAACTAAATGCACGCTTTCAACTAATTTGCATTGTAGACATACTTTTGCCGTCTGTGGTTAGGTTCGCTGCCACGCTGTCGAAACTACCGGCCCATTTTTAATGTGGAGTCCTTTTGATCTTCATCCAATAAACAAGTTATGCAATTTTCTACTCAAAGTTAATCCTCTGCCTATTTGAAAGTAGTGTAATTTGCACAGCCTAGTTTTAGTTTATCCCTTCTCCATCGAATTTGGTCTTGCCTCTCTTACACCACCACTGGCGTTAGTTTGTGCTGCCTGTAATCTTCGTGTAGTTAGGCAGAGTTCTCAGCCCAAGTTATTCTCAAAGACGGTTACAAGCACCCATTCTACTCGGCAAATGGATGAAATACCATGCATTTTCTTTGATCCGAGATCCTGTGCCTGTGTACTCAGTCACTTAGCGTCTAAAAATGTTTTTTCTCCTTCTTCTCGCATTTGTATTGTCTCTCACAAACCCCCCACAATTAGCTTTCATTGCTTTCACTGACACCGAGAGAGCATAGTGACCAAACTGACTGATTTTTATACCTTTCCATGGTAATATTGTCAGAACTCTGAAGTTTTCACACCAATAGTTTTGCAGAAACTTCCATAACTGATCCTTTTAATGCTGCGTTTTGTCATGCGAACAGAACATCACAAAGTCAGCATCATTTGCACACCACTTCAGGCTATTTGACCTCTGATCACACAGTTTTTCGCATCGTAAATTTTAGGCAAGTGTGGGAGGGGAGGAGGGAGAGAGAGGAGCTAAATTTTACGAAAGAACAGTCAACAATTGTCTTTTAGGTGAAATTACAAAATTTCTGTGAGGCTTGCTTGAGGGAATCGCGAAGTTAGACTACTTTATCTCTCATATCACCATGACATCATGTGACAATTCAAAGATCCGTTTGAGCTAAAGAGGGTAGAAAGGCCTTAATAGCGAACATATGGAAGTTTTTGCCATTACATGTATTCATGCCTACACTGCTAACCATTCAAGTCAGTATTTATTTTTACTGTTTATACATCAACTTTGTGTGTTTATGCATGGGTAAACGTTTGACTCAGCGCCCATATGTGGACTTTGTAGTGGATCACCTCCACTCTGAACCATTTCTGCCATCCAGCTTGCATTTCAGCCATTTTGCATTCAATATTCTTCACCTCCGTCCATCGACTGCGGTAAGCTCCTCTTCGTAAACGAGAAAAAGCACAATAGTCGGGTTGAAAATGTTTCGCTGGTGCACAGGAAAGACTGACATCACTCGAATACCAGACCTGCTCGACAGAAGTACCGAAATGGTGATTTCGAATGTATGTAAAACCAAAACAAAGATTTAAGCTATCGCTCAAATACAATTCATTCTCCATTCCATTTGAACCTCAATCGGCGCCAAATGTAGTTGGAATTATGGGCGCACCAGCCATAAACACGATGCCTTCCAAATGCTTGCTATTTTCCATTTCTTACGTTGACAGGGTGTCTACAAGATTCCTTTACGACTTTGTTAGCCACATTAAAATGGAAATCGGCTACCAATCAGATACTTTTAAAATTCCCCTTTGAAACTATGGCTAATTTTTGTTTAGCAAACTGATGACCACAGTGACCTCGCTATTCGCTTCGTCCTACGTTTTTGAATGGTCAAAGTACATGGTGGACACGCCGTTACTCTACCCTCCCGCCTTTGATGGTCGCGTTGTCCTCTATCCCACCGACAAAAACCTACGCGACTACCTAGCTTGGCGTCAAGTTGACTGTAAGTGACTCCTCATCTTCCTTTTGTTTCATACTTTTGTGACACCAGCATTAGTCGTGTTTCATATTCATTTCAATGCGCAAATCGTGGTCACACTGCAAGAGTTTATGGAAGATCTGCGGGTCACTACTTGTTTGGAGAAGAGAATACAAGCACACGCTCATTTCACTTCGGTTATGTTTTTGGTCTCTTGGCTTCTCCATGCTTAACACGCTGGCTGTCCTTATTTGTTCTTTATGGCGGTTTGCTGAGGCGACATACTTTTTTAGTGCAGGCATGACGTACCATCACCAAAAGCGCTTTTAGGCTTGGCTGTTGTATGACCTCATGCCATTTTTTATGCCCCCAAACTGTTGCTACATCGGTTTAATGCTGACCTTTAGAGGGCCTTGGCGATCAACAGCATAAACGGTGCGGGCAGAGCTCTGTGCCATTTTAAATGATGGTAATCACACTCACTGTCTCTCGATCATTTCTACCGTACATCAAATGCACTTACTATCATCTCATTCTTTTAAGCCTTTGATAAGTGGGCACTTACCTCTTCTCTCGTTTCGCCATAAGCCTTCTTTTATGAAGGGTGTGCCTTCTACTCCCGTCATCAGTCCTCTCCATCACTTTTTTTGTCGATACGCCGTAAAGCCTAAAGGTGCATTTTTAAGCCCAATTTTATTCTGTCACAGTATTATACCTGACTTAGATGTTGCATGCACTTCGTGATCATCCCGTTAGGCTCCTCTCGACGCCTCTGTCGTGGCCAGCCAGCCTCCAGCAGGCTCCACCGTTAGACTCGTTTATGACAAGCACTTTGTCAACCCATTCCACCTTATTTCAGTGACATTTGGGAGTTGAATCAATCACATCTCATCGACTTGGGTGCAAATCATATCACCTTCCTCAACGTGCCGCAGCTTTTTAGGTCCTCAATACATAAGTGGAGGGAAACGTTGTACAGTGTCCGTCTCACTGCGCTGTTTTGCATTTGTATGGGAGTGCGACCAAGGCCATGATGAATTCGTTTCTCTTGTGGCGTTTTATTATACCATCTTGACTTTACGCAACTACCACTTAGTTATGTTAGCAAGCTTTTAACAAAGGCAGGCATTGGTTGAGGAAAGCCACTATTAAAACTACCATTTTTGACGGAAGTAGGATAAGTTGCAGCCTTAATTCCGCATATCGTGTTTTTTTTTTAAAAAAAGGTCACATTAACAATTTGTACAACACGTGTTTCTGGAACCTTGTTCAGCGGGGAGGACTGACAACTGCAGCGGCTGAGGAGAGACTACGTGTGAGTTTTTGGAATTCCAGTTTGTAAACTTCAATAGTTTTTAGCTTCATTGACGTTTATAACAACTATTGGTTGGAATATGAGAGCTTCCTGCAATTTTGGAATGATGGCTCATGTACAGTCCGTACTTCCGAGTCCAAAACGGATTAAAAAAGGAATTGATGGGGTGTTGGCCTTGCTTATTGTGACACAAGATCATCTGCAACGGTTTGATGTCTAGTTCAGTGTCTGAATGGTCCCAGCATACCACTACATTCGCATAGCACAGTCCGTCTTGCCTCTATGACCTTCTTACAAGAAGACACGTTTTATGAGGCTTTCCTACCAACTCACAGGCCTAACCGTTGATATTTGAGGGTACCATAGTTACGCCATCCCATGCCTTACGCCTCCCGTAGCTCCCCCATGTTCAATTTTCGTGCTCTTGTTACACCAGCCTGATTACCAGTGTCTTGAGTGGCCCATGGCATTTCCACTGACCATTAGGATCGCCACTGGTTACTACTCGTAGTACCATCGCAACAGCCTTCCTTTTTAAAAACGCTGAATTAAATAGCCAAACTTATTTTCAATACCTTCTGGTAAAAAAATGGGATTGTCTACTGTTTGTTCCCTATTGTGCCGGCTGATTATTTCTTGGCCAAATGACTGTAAAAATGCAAAACAGAGGAAGAAAATTTTCTTTGTTATTAGTCTCGTATGAACTTGCTTTTTTAGGGAACATTGTCCTCGGATAAGAATGAAATCCTGTTTTCTGAATTTGGCATCAATTACAACAACGAACCACAGCTTTTTCGTAAAGGAACGGTGCTTTTCAGGAAAGGAGTGAGCCTCATCAAATTTTGCTTATTTCATCTCTACGAGGTTATTAAGTTAAAGGAGTTTAAAGGGAGACCAAGGCGATTGAATTGACACTTCTTGTCCGTTATCTTTGTTTGGGGTGTCTCCATTTTTCATAGGGCATTCTCTCATTCTTTTAGCCGAAGAAGATGGCACTGGAAGAGCGGAATTGTGACGTAATAAAGGACGACTTCTGGCTTGAGAATTCGCATTTATTAAGCATGTAAAACCGATGTATAGGAATCAATTTGTATCCTTTGTTGCTGCAGAAAATAAACAACGACACTTCATGCCTTTTTACTGTCACACAAATTATGCAATATGCTAATGCTGAGAGGTGGGTGTGTGACTCTTGTATGGTGCCACCACTTTCACTTTTCTCAACGCGTTTACGGTTATTACTTTTGCCTTAATCTCCGATTAAATGAGCTTAACGAGGTAAGCGCATGACCGTATCACTTTGAGGTTCTGCTCAGTTGATTTAAATACAAAACAGGGCTTTGAGAAGGTTAGGGAGGTAAAATTGTTAAATTTTTGTGGTGAGTGATTGCAAAAATTCTTTCTGAATGTGGCAGTAGTTTTGGGATCAGAGATGCCTCTAGCTACGTTACGGAGTCCCCAATAAATGTTAATGACTCATTACAGACGTTCCCAATTGCAGATTTCCTGAAAGAGGTAAGTTAGCCAGAATTGGAGAGTGGACGTCTGGAGAATCAAGGTTCTATGTTCAGGTTCCACGTGATGCCTCCAAATCCTACCATACTCATTTGTTCCACGTATTACACAACAGCAACAATTTGCTTCGCAAGGGCTCGGACAAGGTTCTTGTAACACTTTGCCCATTTGGCAGTCTGTGCGGTCAGCAGTCGCTTTTAGCCTAGTCAAAGTTCAATGCCTTTCCACTCCCTTTGCATACAAGCGTTTAGACGTAGGTGACACCATCTAATACCTGATAGGAGATCACGAGACGTCACGGGCATAGCTATGATTAATCAATAAGGAGTGACCTTAGAAAAAATTGGATTAAATGAATATGAAACAATTTTTGAGCTTTGGTGAGCTGTTCTTTGTTTTTATTGACACAAGACATGCAATTGTGGACTAGGAAGGGTTTTGCGAATAAAGCAACTGTTATTAGTTGGTCTTAAGATCAGAATGGCTTGATGACTGCTAAACTATCCTTATCAAATACTAAATCTGACTTTTCCACATCGTTTATCACCGCATCGACATCCATTTACGCAGATTAACAGAGAGAATCATTCGAATCGTATAGGTATAAATAGTAAACTAAAACACATGCAATTAAGGCAATCGGTAATTTTTCCAGAGCGCTAGTTATTACTGCATAGCAGTCCACAATTTTCTAGTCACTTCGACTTCGTTATTATTCGCCCGGAACAATCAAGTTCGGCGCATTGCGGTGGGTCGAGGATCACTATCTTATGAATGGTTGGCGTCACTAGTTTCTAGTTAGGCATGAAAGGGTCTCACTTCAAAGTCATTTTCACTATTTTTAAGTCTCATCTGAACCGTTCCGCTCGCTGATGGTCAAGTCTGCTTAATACTAAGTAGATACTTTTGCGTATTCATCACAGCCGACTTGTGTTGACAATGTATTAAATAGGGCTTCGATTACTGGCAAAAGCCTGTTATGTATTGGCTGCATTTTCATCTCCATTCCAGAATGAATGTTCCAACCTTCACGATGAGTGGACATCTCTTGCGCTGTATTTCCTTTCTTTCTCCCATGAGGAAGGTTCTGATTCCCTTTGCCTTCCGAGTCCAGTACGTTTGCCCGTTCTCCACTAGTAAATGCCTTGAATACACTCAACAAATGACATCTCGTCTCACCGGAAAAAAGACTAAGTTGTGGGATCTCTACAATGAGGTTGTCTACCCTCCCCGAGAAAACACCATTGGTACTACCGATGGCGAAATAGCTGTTGAACCTCGGCCTGCTGAAGTCACTTATACTAAGGAGAATATATTGTATAGCCAAAAAAAGCTTTGGCTACTGGCTTTTATGGTAAATTCCTAACAAACTAAGCACATTATTTTCACTTTCATAGTTTTTCTGTTTATCTTATGCTGCAGATTCGCGGATTGTCTGTTGACGAGGCTTTCCAGCAGTTGGGCTTCCGACCAGAAAAGGGAGCTAGAATTCTTGAAAAAGTTTGTCATTTTCAGTTTTGCTATTAGCATTGCTAAGTAGTACTATTGGATTCGTTTATCGGGTCTCAATTAACGTTAGGCTCTTGAGGCTGCTATCGAGAGGGCAGTTACGGAGCATGATGTCGAATTTTGTACAAATTTATGGGTTGGTAAGTCCTCATTGTACTCATATCAGACTTTGTGGTCGTTATGCAAGACTGCTTCATTCCTTTGCACTGTTGTTTTCTAACCTAGGTTCTTTTGCATGCAAGAATTTGGGGTCATCTTCTTTGACCTACCTTTATTTACGACAAGTATCTATTTTGTAAACATGTTATTACTCATTACGTGTGGTGTGACTTCATTATTCCATTAAAATATTACTGCACCTTAATTCGTTTGTTTTAATCTTTTTGTTTTATCCATTTGTCCTATAGAAAAGGCATTGGTACTCCGAGGCGATAGCGTACCGCGAATCCATAAGGGTCTTCGAACTACGGTGTCGAAATCGAACTATCACTACTCACGACTGATGCTGCGGTTGCGTGAGGGCGCTCCACCGGCACTTTACCATCCCTACCTTATTCGTTCGTCCTGGCATCCTGCTCCCAACTGTCCTGCAGACGGTGCTCCGGGTTGGGGCTCTGCGCACGACATTCTCGACATCCAAATACGCAAAATTCGGCGCCGACGCATTCCCGGTGAACTGTAGAGCAGTCTTGTTAAGACATCAATTTACTGAGAAAAGTCGCTTCTATGCCTTGATCCTTTTCGTTTTTACCTTTGGGCGATGACGATTATCCTCTGGGAACCATGGTTTATTTTGTCTTTGAGCAGTAATTCTATTGAGTTCGCAATTTACGAAGGGAAATTCGCTTTATGTTGACTTCTTCCCCGCTTCCTTTACAGAGGGATAGGGGTTGGATGAAGGTTTGCCATTTTGCGGTTTGAGTAGAAGGAATACCTATTTCTTCCTCTTCCTATCTGCTTCTCCAGTGAAGCACAAAATGATGCGTTTCCACATTTTAAGCAAAAAACTTAATTTCCGACTAACGCTGTTATCCTCCTATTTAAGTTTACGTGGCGAAGACATCCGTTCCATATCGTTCCCAGGTTGTTTATCTAAGAGTTAACTGAGTTCAAACCTAGTTTTTTTTACACATCAATTTAAATGAAGAAAAAACATTTTGTCGTGCCTCTTTCCTACACAAGTAAATGTAACTTATTAGACGGCTAAACTTCAATAGGGATTTCAGGAAGTTGATAAGAAAATCGAGCTTGATTTCGCAGCTTGCTTTGATCAGTCGGTTCCCTTTTCTATTGTGTGGATCGTAAATATTGATGTTCTTCTTATTAAATGTTTCTGTCTCTGGTTCTTCTTTTATTCCCAATGAAAAGATGGCAACTTCTAGCAATTCAATGTTTGTCTTTGTGATGTGTTGAGGACTGTCTCCTTACGACTATGACACTAATAGTTAGTCTGAGGTCATGAAAAGCGGTTCATTCCCTAAGCGTGAGATCTTGACTTCGGGAAAGGACCGTCCCATCTTCTCAAGCATCCAATCTGTAGTCATGTGAATGGATTTATTTCAATTCATCGAAGGTACACCACTATTTGCATACCTTACGATAGGTGGCTGCTTTCTGTTCTTCCATTTTGAGAAGGGGGCTTAGTTTGCAGTATGCTGATTTTCGTCTTTCGGATTTGGAGTTGAGGTTAAGTAGCTCTTCCCTTGGCTTGACACCAATGCGATTTGCTGGTGAGTGATGGCTGACGGAAGAGACTGAGCAAGGGGGAGTTACATGGGCAAATTTCGGACTGAGGAGAGGTCCAGTAGTGCTTTAGCTGTTTGTTTAACTCTCGGCTTTGATGCAATCACTGCTTTGGATTTCCGACACTCAACGTTTGCGGAGTGGTAGCCTCATTCCTTTCTGTATGGTGAAATACATTATTCTACTCAAATTGTAAGCCTTCTTGAAATTCAACTATCGTTGTTGTTTCAAGATAACTTTTAAGCAACATCAGGGTCCGAGGGTCCAATTAGTTTTTTTCACCTTCAATGACTTTATCCATCGTCTCTACCAAGGGGACAGTCACGATGGAATCAGCTTCATTTTTCCACTTCCTACTACAGAATTAGAACTTTGGAATCCTTTTTCTCATCGCCTTTCTGACATAAGTAACTCTACGTGCGGGGCATTGGTTGAATATGCAATTGGTAATTGTTAGAACGGTCTGCTCCTTCTGTCCATATCAACGCCCATGGCAGGGGAGGAGAGGGAGGTAGAGAGCGACTGAGGCTTGGTTAAAATTACTCCTCTTATCATTCAGCAAATTCCAGTTCTTGAATGTCCTTTGTTCTCCCTTCTTCCTCTTCGACGTACCCTAAAATCACGTCATTAAGCCGTTCGTCCTTAGGAGGCGAAAGTTTGAACTGAAAAGTCGTCGCTTGCCCGTTCCATCTGGTGATATAGAAGTTAATTAGTGTATCAGTTTGTGGATGAGGCAATGAGAAGATGTCTTACTACCTCTTGGAGTATCTTGATATCCAGCTCTCCCAGGCGCCCTCTTTCTTCTAGGGCATCGAAGAAGGTTTTCTGCTCATCCAATTTTCAAAAGGGGACGGCTATTCATCTAGATCCAAACGCATTGCTCAACTCCCACTGGGGCGGCAGTTGAAGTCCACTTTTCCTTTCCCCATTTGTTCTACAAAAGGGATTGGGCGCATAATTTCTAGCCATGTGAAACAACTTTTCTCGAATTTTAGTGTATAACTTGCTACTTTTAATAATAAGTAGGTGGCTTCATAGATTATAACCGTATCCCACTGCCCTATTGCTTGCATTGGGTGGACTGCGTCTCTCACCATTGTGGCAAACTGGCGATGCTTTAAAATTGCTTCAAGACTCTACCGATGCTGTCAATCTTTAATCAATTTTGGCAAGGAAAAAACACTATTAGATCTCTTCTACCTGCTAAAACACGGACTAGAAAATAGCTTCGAACCACCTCCATTAAATATCCACAAATGCCTCTAAGTGCGCAATAAAACCAACAGTGAATGCCAATTTAATGGGCATTTTGCACGTCCTTGCCATTAATTCGCCAAATTAAGAATAGCTGTGCAAACTTCCAATAAATGCTCTAGAGTAGGATTGCCACAAAGGAAAATTGGGTAAACTCAGATGGTGTAGATGTACCCACTATATCCCTCATAATTGCGTGCTTTACTGAGTGTAGCTCCTAATTGACTCACGCATAACGCATATGCAGCTTTCATGCGTACTTAGACGCCTTTACGCTTCAATTAAAGGCCCTTTTGAAGTTGCATTCACACTTTTCCATCTTAAAGGCCTCTACATGTCTAAAAAGAAATGTGTTCTTCACAAGCCCATGGAAATAGCAATAAAGTTTAAGGTGTAGACTCTTGATGACCATAGGGATTCGCACGCACTATGGCACATTAAAAGCCTTAAAAAGCTTGGGACTTTAGAGAGAGCTATTTAATGCTGCCGCATTGATCACTACCAGAAAATGTGTTTCAAAACCCTTGGAAGCTCTCAAAAGGGCTCTGCAATACCTAGTGAGTGATTTGTAGGAGCCGTGGGATGAAGAGGTATTGTTTTGGAAAGCAGGCATACAGAAGCGAATCAGGGTTAGCAAGTTCGTTGTTCTACACTATCCATGCAAAACCTGCAATTTGTAGTCTTTTGGCGTCTCCTCTTCTCCATAGGCACGATCACAAAAGTAGACCCGTCGGAGACGACAGTTAGCGTTGATTCGAACTCGCGTGACTTCGCGCAGACGTTGCTTATAACAGTACTCCATCAAGCGGTTCAAATCAAACACCACGGTGTTCCACCCCGGGTGAAGGAAAAGCGGCATGTTGGTGCAAAACTGGCGAATGAGCGTGTTCTTTGTGGAATTGCTAGCTCTAAATCTCCTCGGAAAGCCACTGTAGTCGAGGGTTTCAATCTGGAATGAGAAGAAGCGATTCATATTTTTGAAGAGGACTACAAAAATGGGCATTTTAATGCCCAAGGTCTCATTTTCACAGGCAGGGCATTCAATATACGTGGTGCTGACATTATTTCCGCGGATATCAAGAACAATGGATCGAATGGCTGAGTCGGTCAGCCTCTTGATACTTCCTGACTGGCAGCATGCCTTCCAGTTGAGGAGAGGCTTCTGTCCAACACTGTAGAAGATAGACAACAGTCCCGACTGATATGAATCTCGATACATTGGTTTCCCTTTTATCTACCAACTTTGACCTCCACGCGGGGCAAACCTGGTGTATCGATTTTTGGGTATTCAATTCGAGCCCCTCAATGGAGTCAGAAAGCACGTGAATAGTCCTAGAGTAGATTGTGTCCGTACTGCGGTCGCTTCGTTCAGTAAAACTCCAACACTATGTAGGGAAACGAAGTTACAGTGTTGAGACAGAGCCGGTGAGGTCTATTAGACAGCCCTTCTGACTGAACATTGCCAATCTCTAGTCGCAGTCATCTCTATGATTTATTGATCCACAAAGAAGGGCAAACTTGAGCCTGTAACAATGTGAATTAGATATTAAATCATAAAATATACTAGAATCACCGGCTCCCTTTCAATGGGTCGGAAGATGAAATACTCACGCGTGGATGAAGAATTTACTTAAAGCGAGTTTGATAAATAGCAGTCACATCGGTAATGAGAGGAGAAGGATACATTGATACCTAATTTGTATGGGAAGGGAGGAGAAGGGGAAAAGAGGTAGCGTCGTCACAAAGGATCCTTATACCATTACTACCATACACATATCTCTGTACACTGAGTGATAATAAGAGAGAAAATAGTCTATACACAAGGGAAAGAGTATGGCAAAACGAGGATAAGTATTATGAGGGATTTTTATAGTACTGCTTCATGTAAGCCAGCCGAAGACGGTGAGCATGATGAGCTATTTTGACCGCCAGTTCCCATCGAAGACCCATTTTTGTGTGCAGTTCGTGAGCGGGAGGGAGGAGCATGAAGGATTGACCATCCACAGCCTGTGATGCCAGCCATGATGAGAGATCGTTGCAATCAGTCGTTGTTAAATAAGCTGCCAAATCCAAGGGACTCCATTTAATGGGGTCACTAGTCAACGTTGGTACCTCCACACTCTGCATAAAGTGAAAAATACATAATACAATACCAGCAGAGTTAATAGTTCTGAGCGTGACGGAGGTATTTACTTGTATAAGAGAGGCATCTCCATTTAAAAATAAATAAAATTGGTTATTCCGGTTCCCCCTCGTATCAACTGTACGATTTACGCCTCGCGAAGACACCCTTCGACCTCTGGATCTTTTCAACGGTCTTGTATCCTTTTCCTCTGGAGTATCACAGTCCTGATTTGAAGTAATTGGATTCCAGTTGTACAGTAATGAGGGTAAGAGAGATCGCGATGTAAGTAGCCGCGAGGAAACAACCAGCGGACGACGGCTATTGCCCCTTGAAATACGCATTTCTGTGTTGAGAAGACAGGCCGTAGAGACAATTGTATCATCGGTTATGAGGACCATTGGAGGAAAATTTTCGGTGGCCACACGATGAGGTTTGATAAGATCATTACATTTGAGAGGACAGCCTCCTGATGCATCCAGTCGGCGCGTACTCAGTAGAAAGGGGCAGGCCTCAAGTCCAATACATATCTATGTGGAGGAGGAGAACAGCCGTGCATAATAGTTACCAAGTTAAACGTTGCGATATGGAATGATGAGATACCTGTCGACAAAATTCGTCAACGGCACGAGCCCGTTTACAAGTTTCAAAGGGCATGGTTAGGTGAGTGCCTTTGCGAGGACATCGAACGCGGATGGCAGTAAGTTCCATGCCCGAATGCCACCGCCTCAGACCCTCGGACCTCATGGCCTCCTTGCGTCGTTTCCAATTGATGCTGCACACATTGTTAGAGAGTTTAGTCACCCAGTCCGCCTCCAGGCCTCTCAACACCCGAACTGGCTTGTCAATAGCGTTAGCCAGCCGAAAGAGCATTGCGACCAGGGTGCGTTCTACAGGACCTGGACCAAACACCCTCGGAAGCGAGTCAAATTTCGACTACGTAAGGTAGAAACGACGCACGTTATGGTCAATTAACTGAATTCTCCGTCTATAATAAGAGTTATATTACCACAGATATGAACAAAATGTGGAATGAAATAAGTATAAAGGGAAAATTTGACGAGAAACTTATAAAACATTAGCGTTGGGCGACACGTTAGCCTTTGATACTGATTAGACATTGCAGCGATTCTACTAAATGAAAATAAGTAGAAGAATAAAAAAGTAAGAAATAGAGAAGAATACTCACCTTAAGTATGTGTGGTCCAGTAGAGCACGACGCGTTTAGATATATGCGAGGACAGACTTCTGTTCTAGCATAAAATGACTTAATCTCGGCAATTCCCACAATTTGTAGGAACGATTGCTTCAATCCACTGTAGTTCCTCCAAATGGGTGGGTCTTCTAAATGCGAGGGAGTAGGTTTCAAATAGGAAGAAGGAGGAACGAAGGGATGGCCATTGGCTCGGCTCCAGCCCAGAGGGTAGAGAGATGTAGAAGATGACTCTATCACAACAGGCTTGTTTATGGGATGCTCTGAACAGGCATGAGAACTCCAGTTTTCAGGGAGATCGGGTAGAAGCCATAGCAAACCTGCCTGGCAGCGTATCACAGTGGCTGTACAAATGGGGTTTTCGTGGAACTCTAGGTCGCCGTTCGGTGACAAGTGAATGCTCTCCCACATAAATGAAGGAAGAGCCATTTCAAGTTTCATACCGGGACAAAAATCCCTTGATGCCCACAGACCTGAATTATCAGCCGAGTTCGTCTTCAACCGTCGTGAACGAGCAGTGCCAAAGGCGCCCACATTTCGCAACGGTGAATAAGTATCAAGCTGAAATTCCTGTGGATTCTTTGACCTCGGAGAAGCCGTAGTAAAGAACCGATCAATCGAAACAGACAGGTGCCTCATAAGCGACTGGTAGGAATCGTTCGTTACTTTCAAATAAGAAGGTAGACTTGAAGAAGTGTTAGATAAATTTAACAACATCCGGGCGTAAGCATGCCAACAAAATGGTTTGTCAGAAGGCCAGTTCTCAGGAGGAAGCAGTCGAAGCCCATAATAATCACACATTTTGGGAGGCATTATCTGAGGCATACCTGCATGTCCTATGAACTCTCGGGGTTCAGTGAACACTGTCGAACCATCTACGGGAAGGGCATCAAATCGTACAAAAAAGTAGCGATCAGAAAGAATCTTTGTAACGGTGGCCGGTCGTGCACCCTCGGGTCTTAGATTGTCAAACGCTTCCAATTTTGTACCCACACTAAAAGTGTGTTTTGGGGGTTCAGGAGCGAACAGAAAAAGACCTTTCCAGGGAGTTACGTCGTTAATGGGTGAGAGCGAATTCACAAAGTCTTGAGTGATTTCGACTGGAGGGATCGCAAGTCCGTGTGGGGGTTTGTATACCAAAGAGTGTGACAAACTCCATCCTAGAGGGCGAATTCGCGGATTCCACATAAAAATAGAAAAAACTGGATTATCCGCACACTTTCCATTCATGACGTTACGGCAAACATAAGCTCTGGAAGTGGTTATGAACTGCACATCAACTCCAAGCCATGAGACGACAAGACGCCCACCGTACTTTTTTAGGATTCGGACAGGCCACACCGAGGAGGGATCAGAGAGGGTCTTGCATTCAAGATAGTCACCAACGTTTACGATGTCACGCAAAAATATCGCTCTTTTATCAAAAATAATTTTTGGAGCAGGAAATGATGTAGTCTTTCGTATAAATTCGGGATTGCTAGCTGAGTACCAAAGTCTTGATTTTTTGCATGGCGGAGGACGAGGCACCTCGATGGCAGACAATTGAGAGGGATGAATCCACGATCCTCCATGAGAATCGGCCCATCCGATTGGGTGTACTAATTCCCAGAATAAATTACTAAACAGCATCCAAAAGGAATGATTTTTTTGGTCTCTCTCCCACCTTGCAGTCAGTTCCGAGTGATTTTTTTCTGATGGATAACACCATCTGAGCTTAATGGTGACTCCAGTAGAACACGCTACTTCGCAAGGCCAAAAATAATTGCCCCTGGGAATATTTTTACCAGACTTTTTGGACAAAATTGCCAGGTCAACTTCCACAATCTGATGAGAAACAAGGTTTAGATTTTCACTTTTCTCAACATGCCTAAACAAATCAAACGGGGCCGGTTCCGAACCGGTTTCCATTGCGAATTCATAGAAAGAGCCACTCTCAAAAAAATCTTTAGCAGTCAGATCCATTGAGCTGCATGATTGTTCCTCCATGACGGGATAGGAGAAGGAGAATATTTTTTAGTGTACAAGCATGCAAATAATAACCTAAAAAATAAATTCAGTAAGCTCTATCAGAAACCTTATTTTTTTCGATGAATTTTAGAAGTGTTAAACGTATTTTCGCCACGAAAGATTTTTTTGAGCACCAGATAATCGAGCAATAAAATCAGAATGTTACAGCCGCAGTATATACTTCGGAGGGGGGAGCTCAACGATTGCACGAATAGAATTAGAACATTAAAACAACAAAAGCAGAATCAAAAATTTTGTTACCGAAAAAGGCGGACGATTTATTATTCTACAAGACGACCACAAAAGCATTCGTTGTCACTTTTGCCGCCCGGAAATCAATTGTGGCAGTAACGTGATAGGAAATCTACCCAAACTTTTATTTTGTATTAGCTCATTTCATTTCTGTTTGCCTGGACCTAAATCAGTATCAATATTTATTTGCATTAAAGATTGCGTATTTCCTTGTTTTTTGCGCATTATAATTTTAGCCTGTTTGCTATGTAAATTTCGCTGCAATGTCCTCGACTCTGGCTGTCATTGCGACCAACACACATACAGACAGCCAAACAATGTATTGCATTGCACCCTATGCCTTTTAAGCGATACTCCGGGCGGGTTCATCGACATACCGCTTTCCCCAGCCAATACAATGTGCGTGGTATTGCAATAAAAACACAAGATTCAGCTGTGTCATTCATTAGTTTCTACGCCGTCTTGGATGTGTATTCGACTTCAACTTTTCTGATCTCTCTTAACGCCTTAACAAAATGAGCTTTGTTCAGCTTAAAGCCAAGCTTCACAGATCAAGGGGGCTAAAGCCGTGGTATAGTTGTGTAACGATTATTCGTGCATGAAGTACAGCGTTTCCCACATTTTAACTGATAGAGCTTGGTGTGTTGTCATAGTTGGTGAATACCTTGTTTATTTGACTGCCTGCATGACTGGTGGTCACTTGCTCGTGCATACAGGGG